TGAATAAATAAATAAACCTTTAAAAAATAATAAATAATTATAATTATAAGAATCCAGCCTGGTCCAGCTAGATGATAACAACATGATAGATACAATGCCTTATAAAAGAGGCATTGAAGAAGTTTTCATTATGAATAAAAATTTCCTGCCAGAAATTCTCTCATTTATTTTCATTCTCAACAAACATGCACATACCCTCCTAGCTACACTAATTGGACACTAAGGCTCTCCATAGAAGAAGACATCTACTGAAGTATTGTCATACCTGGAGTGGCTGAAGCCACTTAGTTATATGTCCTGGGCTTCCGAGATTGCTAACTGCACCACCGAACAGCCAATAAATGATCCCACACTAGAAACAAGGATGACACAGAGCACTGTCAGCAGTAGTCAGCAACACCGTGACAACTCAGCCTACTTGTCAAGCTCTATTCAAGAGCATCTGTTCTGCTCACCACGTTTTACCTAAGCCAGCAAGTGGCAAGCAGTGGCAAGGCTTCATGCCCTTCCCCTTCGCTGCCTGCCAAGTTCCAGGTCCCCTCTGCAAACATGGCTCATGGTTCACACCCTTGGAGAAACCATTCGAGTACCACAGAATCAGGCCTCCATCTTCAGAAAGGCCCAGTTCACCCCATTCAATGGCTGTTCTGGATGTCCTTTCCACCCTATCTGCTGAGGGTCTGGCTAAAGGCTGGGGATGTGGAGCATGCAACAAAGTGTAGGTGTCCTGAGCCCAGCACCCACAGCAAATGGTGCATGAGACACAGTCAGCAAACAGAAGGCTGAGGGAGAGGTGACGTTGCAAAACAAGTAGACCCTCAGCATGGGGTAAGCAAATCCCCTATCAGCGACCCACTGACAGTGGGGTCTTAGACAAACAAAAGTCACTTAAGTAAAGCACACCCCCTCGCACCCCTCAGGCAGAGCTCCTTGCACACGTGCTCACTGGTGCTCACAAGCACCTGGAGAAGACAGTGTCATCACCCCCATCACAGACAGGGACACTGAGGTTCAGACAGAAAGTGACCTGCTTGTGGCCGCACGCTGAGAAAGTGGGCAGCATTGGGGTCCAAACCCAAAGGGCCTAATGTCTAAGAGCACTTCACTAGTGAGGAGTCAGTGAGGACAGCTACCAAGCATGTTCTGGTCTACAAAGCCTGGGAAAGTGTTGCTGATGAGCAGGAGGCAGTGAAGGATTAAGAGGAAAAGAGGAAAGAGGAGAAGGAAAGGCGGCTTTGACGGGCCCTCTGAGGGGGCAGGGGACTGACTGCAAAGACAGGAAGCTCAAGCGCACACACATTTTCTGTGTCTGCAGGTCAGCACCCCTTCCCACCCGCGTTGGCCACTCGTTTCAGTCTTCCTCTGGAGAGACCTCCTCCCCTAGAATCCATCCAAGTGACTGGTGGCTATGCTGACCCCCACCTCAGGTTTTAGGAGGAGACTGAGACCCAGGAGTGGCCGACCCGTCCAACATCACAGCCGCAGGGATGGCTTCAGGGTGGGCCGTGGTCTAGGCAGGCTCAATCAGAGCAGCAGCTGCTAGGCCGATGGATGAGCTGCGAAGGAAGAGAAACTCCCTCTTGAAGTGAAGGAACCTGGAGGAATGGAGACCTGGGGCTGCTGGCTGCGCTTGTCATCACAAGACCTGTGGGGAATGAGGCCCTACCTGGACATGGCATCCATGGAGAGGAGGCAGAGCCTAGGGATGACAAAGACCAGGTCCCACACACCCACACCTGAAACCCGTTGCACCTGGATGTTTCAATTATGGTAGGAAGTGGGTGTCATTTTTGCTTAGGCAAATTCAAAGGGGTTTTATTTCTACGGTCACTGCAATTGAGTGAACCCTAGTGGTGCTGTGCCTGTGCAGGGAAGTGGCACAAACAGCACTGTCACCTGCGCCCAGCAGCCTCTAGGTGAAATAACCCTGCACAGCACATATGGTCAGGCTGGCGGCCTGAGAGTCATTTCCTGGACACTTAGAGCTCTGACCAAACAAAACACTCTGACGTCACCACGGATGAATTTCGCTGATCACAACTGCCACAGGAAATGCTTTTCATCTGAAGAATCATAAAATATCCTCAGAAGATGCTTACTGCCCAGATTACTCAACCCCTTCTCTGCAGAATCCCCTTAGACACTGCAAATTGCATTATTAACTCTGACTCAGGAAAAACAGAATCAATGCAAATCGTCATTTTTCCCATAAGCCATCCTGAAATCAACTTAAAGATACTGTTCTAAAACTAAAACAGGTTGAACTTTGCACCCCTAAATCTGTTTGGCCGGTGGATATAGTCTTCTTTACAGTATCTTCTTGTTATAGGTTTTTAAATACTTCCTCTTCTTTAAGAGTTCCAGACACAGTTCAAGGCCTCCATTCGCTAAATGCTACTAGTGAGCACATTGGGCTAAGTGAGAGAGATCTATAGGCTGTAGCTGTTAACACAGGGGGCCTTTGTGGTCCCAATCCCCACAATTCATTAATCTCTGGGGATCTCCCGCCAGTGTATTGCCAAAGTCACGTCGTCTGAAATCTGACCAAATGAGGATAATGAATGGGAGCACCTGCAGGTCCCAGTCAGGAGCCCCCTGACTTGGTGGATGCTTTCAGCAGGTGCTTCCTGCGAAGGAGGCCTGCAGGGAACTGGTCCCCGCCGTGGCAGCAGCTAGGATGCAGTAGTTAAGGGGATGAGAAGTACAGGGATTTGTGGCAGATTCTGGAGTCAACTGAGAGGCCGGGTTTGGAGGAGACAGCAATGAAGAAGAGCATCAGTCACCAAGAGGGAGCAGTGCAAAGTGTACTCCTGGAAGGGCACTGTGCCCACTACGTCATCACTGCCAAAGGGGGGCCCTGGTCCCAGGCCACCTAAGGGACAGGACAAAGTCAGCTGTTTGCTCTGGGAGAGACTGGGGAAAGCAGTGGCAAGCAAATGTAAAGGGATGGTGAGGAGACACCTAACAAAAGCTCTAAACACGTTCTCGCCTTGTACTTTTGTTTGGGAAAGATCCCTCTCCTATTTCAAGCATCTAGTAGGGAAAAGATCAGCTGCAACTATGGAGCATGACCACGCATGCCCACCAAGAGCCTGGAGCAGCCTTCAGGGGCCACAGTGAGAGCAGCAGACGGCAGGGAACTGAGGTCAGGACAGATTTGAGACAGATTGAAGGGGCCTTGTGTTGGGTCTATGAACTTTCAATGGTGACTAAAGGAACCATCCCACAGCGGCAGGGAAAGCTGGTGACTGCAGCTGGAAGCACAGGTTGATTTGACCTAGTCCACTACCTGGGACACTGGACAGGGCACGGCCACGTCCCAGGGGCACAGCCCCTCCAGTGCTGAGCTCCTACTCCATGCGAGCATAGGACAGAGCTCCTCACAGGCATCATCAGTCTGTCTACACATAGCCATGAAGGGGTATGAGCAGCACCTTTACCAAGTGAAAACTAGGTACAGGTGTAGGAAAGAATGTGCCAGGGCTGGGGCTGAGAAGCCACTCTGAGAGACTGAGAGAGAGAATCCCCATTATTCTGACTGTCTCCTGTCTCCTGCCACAATGGACCAGCAAGTTCTGTTATGCATGCAGGAAGCCGCCAGCACCACATCCATGAGAGGCCAGGCCAAGCTCTCCTCCACAACGTCCAGCAGTGTTCTCCAGAGAACTTTCGAGTGGTTTAGGGGTCTTTTCATTCCAAGAAGAAATGGGATTCACTAAGGCACTGGAAGTGTTTTTTTGAAACAAATGGTGACCTCAGAAAAGAGAGTACTATGGCCTGATTTGTGTCCTCCCCAAAAAAACACAAGCCAAAGCCTTAATCCCCAGTGTGATGGTATTAGGGTCTGGGGCTTTGGGAATTAACTACACTTAGATGAAATCATGAGGGTGGAGCCCCAGAAGTGGGGTTAGTGCCCCACAAGAGATGCCAACTGTTTGCACACATGTGTGTGCATGAGTGCACTCTCTCTCCCTCTCTCGCTCTGTGTGTGTGTGTCTCTGTGTGTGTGTGTGTGTGTGTGTGTGTGTGTCTGCCTCTCCTCTGACTCCTCTCTCTCCACCTCATTACCCGCCTGCAGGTGACATACCACACTTCTCACGGTAAGAATGCAGCCATCTGTAAATCAGGAAGAGGGCCCTCACCAGAAACTGAATCAGCTTGCTCTTAGACTTCCCAGCCTCCCAAACTGAGACATTCACTTATTTTGTTTAAGCCAACGGACCCATGGTCTTTTATCACGGCAGTTCAACGAAGCTAAGAGAAAGATGACTCGAACAAGGAAAAAGGAGCTGTTGTGGAGAAAGAGAAAAGGAAGCATGTCACTTTTCTTGCAGCCTTAGAGGCCTTGCAGGTTGCATCAGCACGTCTGGCAGAAGACCTTGGCTGGTTCCCAAACTCATGTAGGGATCCAAAGCCCTCTCCTTCCCTGGAACCTCTCTCTTTCCCACCCCCCTGGCCGTGAGTCGTTCTCAGAGCCAGCCCACGACCCTGCCAGCTCTTGGCTGTGTGAGTACAACTGTGTTTGTCCAAAACTCTCAGAGATGCCCAGAGCTTCTGATAACAAAGACCTGGAGGGAGGGAGAAAGGGGGCTCAGGCCTGTGTGGCACAGGCCACCGTGATGGATGATGCTAATGCCCCTTCTCAAAGGACAGCCAACTCTATGAACACATCAAAGAAAACTAATAGCGGTCACTCTATGAACACATCAAAGAAAACTAATGGTGGTCACCAGTTGCTCTCAGCCTGCCAGTGAGAGCTGGGGATGTCCAAACAGCCTAGAGTTCACAGGAATCGCTCCCAAAACACCACGGCCCCTGCCTGGACCTTTCCTCTACCAACAGAAACAACAGCCGTGGCTCCGAGGCTGGACTCAGGAGCACGGTCATATATACCTCTCTAACCTTCTGGATTGCCCAAGCTCAAGGGGAAGAAATCCCCTGAAAGGACTGATGTGTAGGAAAGACACAAGGTAAACAATAACTTTGGTCAAATTCCTAAGTCTTTTTAAATTTGTGATAAGATATCAAACAGAAGACTTGCCATGTAGGCTTTTATAAGTGTAAAATTCAGACATTTTATTGCATTCAAATGTTGTGCAACCATCACCACTATTTCCAAAATATTTTCATCACCCCAAACAGATACTCTGCACCCATTTAGCATTAACTTCCCACTCCCCACACCCCCAGCCTCTGGTAATTGCTAATCTGCAATCAATCTCTATAAATTTGCCTATTTAGAAATTTTGTATAAGTGGAATCAGACACAATTTGTCCTTAAGTGTCTGGCTTATTTCACTCAGCATAATGTTTTCAAAGTTCATCCCTGCTGTAGCACTTGTCAGAACTTCATTCCTTTTTAAGGCCAAATAATATCCCCTTGTATGTATGTGCCATCTTTTGTTTATCCATGCATCTGTTGATGGCTATTTGGTTTGTTTCCACCTTTCAGCTTTGGTGAGTAATGCTGCAATAAGCATTGGCATTCAAGTCCTGAGTTTCTGTTTTCAATTTTTTGGAGTATACTCCTAGGAGGGAATTGCTGAGTCACATGGTAATTCTACTCTTTTACCTTTTGAGTAGCTACCACGCTTTTTTTGAGTCTATGCATTTATTTCATAACCATGTACTGACATCTGCTGTGTACCAAGAAGATAGGGAGTGATACTCTCCAAGGAGTTTGCCCTCTAGTGGTACAAAGAGACGCAACGATGAGCAAAACTTGCAAATAAGCAGGTAATCCAAAATGAACACCTGCTCTGGCAACAAACTGGAAGGTATAGATAGATGGCAACACACAGATGGGATGTGGACTGCCAGTTTGACAGAAGTTTCCCTGAGGGAGGATGCTTGAGCTGGGAATTGAAAAATGTACAAGTGTCAGTGAGGTGAAGGAGGAGAAAGAGTAGTCCCAAAGTGTATAAGGGAAACCAACAGAGGGCCTGTGGCAAGCAGATTCCCCAGAAAGGGGGCAAGGCATCCAGAAGGCTTCTGCAGAGGTACACAGGCCAAAGCCACACCAGAACCTGGGTCATGTCAAAGACTGGAGGGCTTGTGGGAAGGAGCTATAAGTGGAGGAGTGATGTGATCAGAGAAGAATTTTCAAAAATCAATTCCAGCATCTTTTCGGATACTCAGGAGTAAAACTTTTTAAAAAGCTTTTCACTGTGGAAATTTGCAAAAATAGGAGAATATAATGAACTTGACAATGACCAGCTCACAGTCCATTTAGCTTCATCTTCCTCGCAATCTTCTTCCCATTCTACACCCACCATCCTAGCTAAGGTCATCTTAAACCATGACCTTATCCCAGACATTCTGTCCTTTCATACCCAAATACTTCCTATACGTCTGTAAAAGATAAAGACTTTTTAAAACTACTATCCCACCTAAAAATGTAATGATAACAATTTAATATAGCGCAATAGCCAATGTTATAATTTCCCCAACTGACATAATTTTTCTTTATGTTTGTTGTTGGAAGCAGAATCTAAATAAGGTCCACACATTGCAACTGGTTGAAATGCTTCTTAAGTCTGCTTTAAACCACAGGCTAGCCAGCCTTCATTCATTCTAACATTCCCTGTGCAGCTCCCTCACTTCATCCCTGGAGATGCAGAGCAAAGGGTCCCCATCCAAAATCTAGAACACTCTGTAGAGACATCCCCAAGGTCACACCCCACTAGAGAAGGTAGGTGGTGAGCAATTAGGTGAAAGCACAAACTAAGAACCATGACTCTAGACCACGATCCTCTAGCATTTCTGAGGGGGAGAGAAGGGCTATTTATTACACCTCAGCTGACTTCCCTCTGGAAGTCACCACCAACCCAATCAGGAAGAAGAAACCACAGAGAAGCCAATCTCTGCCAAAGGATCTAGTGGGCATTCTCACCATGGGATGACACTCACAGATTTGTTTTTAGTTCTTACCCACTTTTTGATGTCTACATTGCAAGACAGAAATAACGGTCATCTTACACTCACCAACAATTGACCTGGCTTCCTGTCTGATCAATTTCTTTTCATGCTCTAATTGCAGTATCTCCTCCTTAAGAACATCAAAACTGGATATAGGGAATTATTTTAAGACCTAGTAATGGCCAGGAAGGGACAGGTAGAGCTACACAGATGACTCTCTGCTAAGACACTAAGGGCATCAAAAGGGCCCCAGCAAACTATGTCTCCCTCCCCAAACTATTCTGTTCAAAACCCTTGGAGAGAGCAACAAGAATATGCAAAGCAAGCCCAAAATGCAATGCCACTAATACTCACTGATCTGCCAAAAGTCTAGGACTTCCAAGTACTGTGGCATAGTCACACAGGGAATAGTATGCTATAATAATAAATGAATAAATTTACCATTCCCCAAATGGCAAAACTATGAAAACAGGAATAGTTTGGTGGTTGTCAAAGAAAGAAGATGCAACTGTAAATGGGTAGGACCACAGGTTTCTGTGTGTTGAAGTATCAGCTTAGTATCCTGGTTACAGTGATTCTACACGTGGGACCAAACTACATAAACACACACACAACTGATTGCATGTAAGAACTCACAAAATACGAAGACAGCCCATGGTCTACTAATGGTAGTCTATATAAGCATGACTTATACTAATGTCGACTTCCGGGTTTTTGTTGCACTGCGGTGATATAAGTGGTCAGCACTAAGGGAAACTGGGAGAAGCATTCACAGGACTCCATGAGCTATTTTTGTAGCTTCCTGTGCACATAATTATTTCAAAGTAAATCATTATTTTAATTTCCAATGAATGAACACAGTGGCATGCAAGGATATGGCTCAATCTTAGCAATAATCTTTAAGTGAAAAAGTAAATCACAAATAGCTCTTATAAAATAAAAGCAGATGAAAATATTTGACATGAAAAGTGCATAGTTTATATATAAACATGTAACCATATAAAAAGAAAAGCAAAGAAAAAATAAACAGAATTGAATATAATGGTCAAAGAGGACATGGGCTCCTCCTTAAACAACATGCAGCCTGCAGATGTTTCACAAACATCTAGTCCAATGAATTGATTCCTGCTGGGTGTTTCTCACTCTTGACTGAATTTCAAAACTACCAGGGGCCTGGATGGTGGGTGCGGGTGCTCTCACCTTGACTCCTGTGGCCATGTCGGCGGTGGAGAGCACTTCTCCTATCGCAAGGCTTCGACTGACAAAATGTTCTGTTTTCTCTGCCTGAAAATACAACAGACCCAACATTGATATCAATATCAAATCTGATGGTTTTCTGGCCTTTTAAGTTAACATTTTTCATAACAAACATGTTACTTTTAAGATGAAAACCTTTCAACTAAATAAAAGTAACGTTTAAGTGAAAAGATTTAAATGATGTATTTAAATGAAATGCGTTACCCTGCTGAAGGAAAGTTGGCAACCTTTTCACCAGCTGAGTGCTGCCAGCCTTAGCGCGGGACTCCCTCGGCCCAGCCCATATGGCCTTGACCAAAGTTAACCCTCCAGGCTCCTGTAGTTCCTTGCACAGCAGGACACCTGCAGCTTCCACCAATAACCCTACTCGTGCAATCCAGAAACATCCACACTGACACTGCGACCGTTAGGGAGCCGACCTACGCTCAAGTCCGGCGACGATCTTGATGTAAGGACAGGGAACAGTGGATACAGGAAAAGCAATATTCTTCATTTTCTAAACACAGACTACTACCTCAGGGCACTGACTGTCCGTTACCTGCCTGTTTCTCTTTCATTTGCCTCATAGCCAAAACTCCCCAGTGAGAAATAAGACTAAGTGAAAACACCAGCATGATTTATTGATAAAATTCACAGGCAGGGGGCATTTCCTTAAAAGGTGAAGGCCTCTCAGTGAACACATTGTAATTACCCATTGTAGGAATTAACGTTAGTCTTCCTCAACCGCCATCTTGTCCAAGCCTGCGTCCACCAGCTGGTGTCGCGGCCCGCGTGTACATGGGTATATACATGAGAAGTGTGTGCACTTGAGTGTATGTACATGTGCCTCTTGCTCCATCAGCAGCAGGTATAATCATCCTTCCTTGATGGCTTTCAATTTGCCTTAAGTTCTCTCTCCCCTAACATACTTTGTTTTCCCCTCCCATTGGTTTTTACAGTGTTTCTCCAAGCATAATTAATTTTATCAAACAGCAGGCTGTCAAGATTTATGACTTTTATCATGGCTCCAACCCAATGCATCTTGTATTGATTATTTCCTAAAATAACTCCAGGCTTGAGCATGAACCATTGCGTGGTTCAGGCTTCAGTGCTCGCTGGAGAGTTGGTTACCAACAAATAATGAAAAACAACTGTAGCATGTATTTGTGCACTCTTTCAGCAGGCCCGTGTGTCCTCTGTTCCACGGACCCTCACAACAACCTTCCATGAGAAACTAAGCAGAACAGGAAGCGGTGACCCCATTTAACAGATGGAAATTTGATGTAGGGAGGGCAAATATCTAGCCAGGGTCGCCTAGTAAATGACAGCGCGTTGACTAGAAACCAGGGTCACAACCAGGTGTTCAGAGTCCCCATGTGGATGTCAGTTCACAGTTTTCTTCATATTTCATTCTCTCCATTTATTCTGCTGATGTAGGATTATGACTTTTGTCACTAGTGATATCCAGCAATAGCCTTTTTTTATGTATCACTTTGAAATAAATGGCAAAAGCTTCAGCAATCACATTTGCTTAAGAATCAAATCCTAAGTTAGCCATCTTGCAACATAATAAATTGTCTATGACAATTATTTTTCTGTCCCCACTCCCACCATTTTTATAAGATGGAGGTCTTTATTATTAGATTCAATGGGGAATGTCAAGAGGAGTTTACCAGAAATCCTTTGATGTTGGTTTAAACAATTATTTGGACTGGTCAAAAAGTCAAAAGTAAGACTAGACTTAAATTGATTGACTGCCTTACTAACATATATTTTTAAGGTCTTCACACATAAGTTCTCTTCGTCTTCCAATTCTTTCATTTATAATCAGTTGTCTTTAATTAAAGAAATCTCAAAAATGACAAGATTCCCCTCTCATTCAACACTAACAGAATTATCTATATTGAAAAAGATTACTCAATAATCATATGGTTTTTCTGCTTATATTTTGGCAATATTTCTGCTACCTCAATAACTGCCTACATTTAGATTTGATTCAGTCCTTATATCAGTAAGTTAGTTTATAGTAATTTTAAATGATTGATCCCGTAAGAGTATATCTAATATATTCACAAATGTTTTATCCTAAATATTATACCCCATGCTGCTTGCATTTCTACTTAGCACTCTCCATTCATGCAAATTAGTCCTCAACATTGTTGTGCATATCAGTAGTTCATTCCACTTTGCAGCGGAATAGTTTCCTATCTATGCATATTCCACAATTTATACAATCTCTGATAGATGAACACTTGAGTTGTTTCCAGTTTGGGTTATTTATAACAAACCCCCAAACTTAATATAAAACTCATATATAAACAGTCATGTACTAATGTTTTTGTAGACATTTCTCTTTAGTTAATGCTCAGGAATGCAGCTTCTAGGTTAAAAGTTATAACTTAATATTGAAAGTAACTGCCAAACACTTCTTCAAAATGGTTCTTCTGCTTTGCATACCGACCAACAGCATGTGAGTTCTACTATCTCTACATCCTCATCAGTATCATCAGTTTTTTCTATTTTTAGCTTATGAAGGGAGTGTAATGGCATCTTATTGTGGTTTAAATGTACATTCCTCAGGTGAGTAAAGATGCTGAACACATCTGTATACTTCATATAGAATTTATTCATTTCCTTTGCCCATTTTTTTAAGTTGGGCTATTTGTTTATCATTGAACTACAGGAAGTCTTTATAGATACTGGATACAAATCCCTTGCTTCTGGACATATATTTTGTCAGATCTATGTATTTCAGACACTTTTTTTTCCAATTTGTGGACTGCCTTTTTATTCTGTTAGTGTTTTTTCATGAATAGCTTCTGTAATGAATACCAACATCAGTATATCAATACAAGAAATCCTCTGCCTATCCCAAAGTCAAAAGGACATTCCCCTTTGCTCTTCTACCAATTTTGTGATTTTAGAACTACTATATAAGTGGATATTACACTTCATATTATTTTTGCGTGTAGTATTAGCTAAAGATCAAGGTTAACATTTTTCAAATTGATCCCTGAATTCCTTGGCAATATTATCCAAAAGTCAATTGATCCTATGTGTGTGAGATTATTTCAGGGCTCTCCATTCTACCCTGCTAATCTATCTGTCCATCCCTATACCAATGCCATATAAACTTGAGTAGTTTTACAATGAGACTTGAAATAAAGTAACAAGAATTCTCCACGTTTGTCCTTTTCAGAATCAATTTAACTACTCTTTTGCATTTTCTTAAACATTTTTTGAAGCAACACGTGAAGTTTGATCAGGGCACTACAAGCATCATACCATGTGCTCCCCTCCTCCTGCTCCCCCCATCATCACCATTGTGGCTAAAACTCTTCAGTGCCTCAAGTTACTTCTAGAAGAAAATCTAAACTTCTCACCACAGCTTCCACATCTGGCCCTTCTTATTCTCTGCTGTTTCCTGGGGTCACATACTAGGGTGCTTGAGCAGAGTGCTGGGCAAATCCTGTAACAAAGCTCTTACAGATTTGCTGTATTTCCACAGGGCCCTTGACTATTCCAGAAAAGGCCAGTATCAGAATGATGAAAGGTGACATTCCCAGGGCTCTGTCACAGGATATTTTTCTCTCTTCATAGAAAACATGACTGTAGTATTTTGACAGTTTAGGATTTTCCAAATTCTTGCATTAAATTAGTATCTCTTCCCTTGACAGCACTTGCTTCCTAGCAAATTCCAAGCTTCTTTGAACATTTTTCAGATTATTAGTGTAATCATGTAACTTATCAATATTGGCAGCATGCATCTGCAAGTGTATTGTATTGTTTGGTGTGTTGTCTTAGTTCTCTGTTAATGGAAAGTCCAATATTTTACACTAATTTTAATGGAAAATAATGGTTAATTGAGCATTCTACAACTCTGATGAGTGAATTAATTTTAATAGGTTTCTGTGAACTCAGTTTTCTACAAATAAGATCATGTCATCTGTGACCAGAATAAGTTTCTTTCCCATTTACCACATTTGATTTTTATCCACAGCAACCATCACCACCTGGCACACTATATGTAGGGGTTTTCAATATAAATCTATGTTCATTATATAAATTTATTTATTCATTAATTTATTGCTTGCTTCCTCCTGACTAAAATGTAAATTCCATCGAGACAGGTATTTTTGCCTGCTTTGTTCACTGCTTCTGAAACAATCCCTTATTTGAAAATAGATGTTCAATAAATAATTGTAAAGCGAATGAATCACCTCACCTGGCACACAGAAGGGGCTTAGAAAATGACAGCAGGAATAATTATTGTTATTTTTAATGTATTATTTCATGGCAAGAATACCAGTTAAGCCTTAAATTGAAAAGTTTTCATTATGCTGAAGGGTTTACGGTGCAATAAATAAATAGCACCAGATTCCAGCTGCACTGGAGTCCCCTGGGTAGATCTCAACTCACTCCCTGGCACGCCCTTTTAAGTAATCCCTGTGGCCAGCACAAATGACAACTCAGTTCAGATGCCAATCTATACCAGGGAACTTCTGTAAACAGGCCACTCTGTTGTCTCTGCTCAAATCCTCCAAGGCATCTCATGGAGCCAGGGCTGGCCTGGTCAAACGCCTGGCCAAGTGGCCTGTGTCCAAGTCCCTGGAGCTGGAGCAAGGACAGGGACTCTTGCCAAAGGCAGCATATAAGACCAAGAGCCAGGGGCAGCCTGTCACAGTCCACTAAGAAAAGCCTGGGTTCCAGTACAAACAGAAGCCAGAGAGCTGATGGCAGAGCCCAAGCTAGGGTGTTGGAGCCAAGAACTCAGAGTAAGTAGGTCAGGCTCCAGTAACGGGGTGGGGTGGAGAATACACTTGGTCACGGTCTGCAGGACCAATCAGGGCTGGCACTGGTGCTGGTGAGCAGGCCTAGGTGGGACGGACTAGAGTAAAGGACCAGGATAAACACGCTCGCTCGGCTTCCTGGCATAGTCCCTGCTTAGCAAATCCCCACAGCACACCCACAGCTTCAGTGTAACTGCTTCCTGGGAAAGGCTGCTTCTTTGCTCAGGGATTAACTAAGAAAGTGCCATTTTCCCCACTCCCAAATGTCCTCTAACATGACTTGACTTCGAATCTTATTTCATTTTAGATCTGATTATCAACCTGGTATTTATCAAAACACAAAGCTAAACTCTGATTGAAATAATAGAGAATTATAATAACTATAAATATACAGCCACCTATTCCTCTCCATGTTGATTTGCGATTGGGCTCCTGAGAAAATAGTGGATAATATGGATCGGCAATTCTCAAACTTCATGGGCTCTGGATCCTTGGACACTCTTAAAAACTATCAATTCCAAAGAGCTTTTGTTTATGGGTTGTATCTATCAATTGATCACACTTGTAATTAAAACTGAGTCTTTTTTAAATAACAATAAACTAATTTCTGGGCCTTCCTGGTGGCACAACAGGTTAAGGTGCAGCACTGAAAGCTAGCCACAGAGCCTCAGTGCGCTGGACCCCCAACCCCAGAGCTGACCCACATGGCATGGCAGACTTCTCCTGTCTCATCTGCTGCTCCCCTCAGCAGTGTACTTCGTGGATCTGCCTGTTCTGTTCCCCACTCTCTCTGGTGAGTCCTCTCACCACCCCTGTACTTCTGGCCCGTACCTCAATTCTGTATGCATAAATAAATCTTTAAGATAAAAAAATAAATAAACCCACTCCATGTTAGGATGAATGACAAAATTCTTATAAAATACAGTATAATTTCTAGAGCCAAAAAGTCAATGAAAATTACAGCATTGTTTTACATTTTTGCAAATTGTTTTAGCAACGAGTTTAATAAAAGACAACTGGATTCTCAGACCTGCTTCTGCTCTCTATCTGTTACTAAATGCTGTTTTGGTACAAGGTTATGATGAACTCTGGTATCATTCACAAAGGCATGTTGGACATCTACTTTTCAGGTAGTACCTGAAGGGGTCTTGGGGAACCCCAAGGACCTTCAGGCCACGTCTTCAGAGCCACTGGTTTAGCACATGATGGTGCTAACACATACGCCTGTGTGGTTCATGGGCATGGGATAAGTGGGGCTCAGAATGGGAAAGAAGATGGTTGGAAGGAGAGATGGTAAAGAGGGAGCAAACCTTAAGGAGTGGGTGCTTTATTATCCAGGTTGTCTGTCCCCACTCCTCATGACCCTTAGCCAGGAGCAGCTGGCTCCTTCCTGCAGAGGGGAAATGTTGGGATGGGACATCTTCCTGAATTTTCCCTGCAGCATGATTGCAGGGCATGGCAAACGATGAAACGGAACAAGTGTGGGTGGACAGGCAGTCCACGGTACAGGGCAGAAGGGGAATGCAGCAGCACCTCACTAGGTGTATGACCTCAGGCCAGTTACTCCACTTTGGCTTACTCATCTGTGCATTGGGAATGTTATGAATATCGAATGAGATCATCTGTTGAGGTCTTGGCACCATGACTGGCACAAAATTGGTAAGTTTGAATTATTATTGGTTATAGTGACTTTGGTCAGATCATCAGCTTCCAGAATGGGGACAAATGTCTCTGAGAAAGCTGCCACATATAGGACAAGGCGCCCAAAGGTGGGCTGGGGCTCCAGTCCCAGCCCTGCCACAGGTGGATCTCCCCCCTGGGTTCTCTGTTTTCTCACCTGGAAATGCTGTAAGTCAGCAGCTCCCCACTCCCAGGATCAAGCCCTGGACTCCTCAGGGGGAGAAGAGAACTCTTAGCTGAGGGGTACAAATGTGATATCACCAGAAGCAGGTGCAGGAGAAGTCCATATGGGATGCACTAGTGGTGTTCACACTGTGTGTGTGTGTGTGTGTACACTCCATGGTCACACTCAGATATTGTGGGGTTTTTTTTTTTTTTCTTTTTAATAGTATGGGAACATCCCAAATTTGTTGCAGATGGCAGAAGGGAAAACACAGAATGGAAATATTTTAATGTCTTATTCTTGGCCTGTGGACTGTCCACAGAGACATGGAATCAGCACAGCTCACTCCTCCTTGTCCTTGAGAGCGTCATCATCACACATGGTGTACCTCGTTCTGCCTCGGAGCACATTGGATGGGCCATGAAAGTTCACAGAAACAAGAAATGGGGTCCAAGGAAGGACCTGGAGCCATCTCTGAACAGGCAGTGCAGTCGTGACTCAATATTTTTATTAAGAGTCAGGATGAATCATGTAACACTTCTTCTAGAATTACTGAGCATGGACAGCTTCTCCAGCTGTTTGCTGGGTGAAATTTGAGAGGCTTCAAGCCCAGATTTGCTGCTGTGTCTCATGATACCCTCCCTCTTCTCCCAGATGAGCCTGCTGCACAGAAGACCAATTTAATTTCCTTCAGGTTCATTGGCTTTCGTGAATTCACACAGAGAAACACCGCCTGGCTGAGATAACTAACAGAAAGGAACCAAAAAATCACCTATGGCCGATCTTGTGCCTCCTGGAAGGATTACACCTAATCACCCAGGCCAGAGTTGTCCAGGCTGCCTAAGACCATGAAGGGAATCACAAAAATAAGACGATAATTGGATCCAGGGCTCAACACCCTTCATCGGAAGCAGGATTACACAGGCTAATCCTCTAGACTCCGTGGGTCGTGCAATAATTAGTTACCCTCATTAAAGGATAAACCCTCACATCCGGGTCTTGAGTATTGACACTAAGCTAAGCCATAGACATGTTGGGCTGATTAAAAGAGCAGGAGACTGCCACCACATACCAGGATTTCACCTTCCAACCAGCCTGACACTGGATGCACTTAAAGGCCAGACTCTGACAGGGAAAGTGGCTGGAAGCAAAAGGGTTTGTAAGCTTTGGGAGGTCTTTTGTGTGTTTATTGGTTGTATCCACAGCTCTGAATGCACATTCCCTTGAGAGGCAATTTACTAGTTTGAAAAATCTACTTTGTCGGAGTGCTTGGTCTGAAATGATTTTTCAGGTTGGCAAACACACTCTACCCTCTTCTTTGGGAGGTTTCCTTACACAGCCTCTTCATCTCAGGGTGACAATGCCTGTGCTTGTCACTTTGGAGGTGGCTAATGTACTGAAGCTCTGCAGATGCTGCTCTGCCTGAAATTTCTTCCTGACAGTAAGATGCTGACTTGCTCTTGTTTCCAAGGGGTGGGGAGTGACCTATTCCCAAACACAGACCACAGATTCCCCACTCCAGCTACGATCCACAATCCACAGAGAAACCGGCTTCCTGTGGCCCCACCGAATGGGAAAGGTAACAACTGTCCCTATCTACAGACCAGGCTGGGAAGGGTGCTGGGCTTCAGCAGATAAGTTCAGTGCCCCAGCCATCCACTAAGCTGAAGTTCTCCCAATTCAAGCTCCCCACCCAGAGGTCTCGCCAGGAGATGTTTTTTCCCTGTGTCAGGAGATGTTTTTTCCCTGTGTCAGGTTTAAGGAAGTAGGGAAGCTGAATGAGATGGAAATAGATTTAAACTTGGCCAAATATACAGCTTCTAATGTTTGCATTCTAAAGGAAATTCTTGCATTACAAAGGAATTCTCTAATCACATCATCTTTCTCACTTCTTTCTTTCTAATGAAACTAAATTGACTAAAACATTTCAGCTGAATTTAGAATGGTGATATTTTTCATGACAAACAAAATTCAATTTTTGGACTGGTCTAGAATGCTTTAAAACTCTTTGAGGTGAGTTTTTTTTTTACATTTCTCAGATATTTGAACTTTATGCCTAAAATTATATTGGTTTTTGTGAACCCTTATTTCCTTACTTCTGCTGGTCCCTTATTCCTTAGTCTATGCGCTTGGGGAAAGTGAATGTGTGGATCAAGGGGTGGGGAAGGAGAGGGCACTCTCCACTAGACCAAGGACACACACTGTCAGTTTCCCTCAAAAGGGAATGAATATGCTTCCATAATTCACAAGCGCAAACAAGACAAAACAAAAATCTGTGTGTGTAACAATGAAACTTACCTGTTCCTGAACTGCGCGCTTTAGCAGAGGCAGGCCCATGGTGAACTTCACTCTCTGGAATGTCAAAGCTCTCATCTCATCCAGATTTAAGTCATACCTGTGAAGAACAGATACAGACTGGGGTTAAGACATTGCATTTCCAGTGACTCTGAGTTGAGCAACTGGATGCTTTTGTTACAGGGCAGGGAGAGGGATACCCCTAAACCCCCAAACCTGCCTGCTCTAGTTTCTGCCATCTGCTGCATCAAGACAAAACATATAAGATCTTTAATGGAAAGGAACTTTAATACAATGAGTGTGCAATACAAAAAAGGCAAAGAATATAGTTTCTAAATCAAATACCCGAAGTTACCCATCCCCTCATGGGTAAAAGTCTACCCAAAAGGATTGGCCCAGAGCAAAGTTTGAAAGCCAGCCACAAGACTAAAGCACCTTCCAGCAAGGACCCAAGGAAAAGGGTCAGAAATGGCCAGACAAGCCTGGGAGGAAAAGAGCAAAATCAAAAGCAATGTAAACACTGCCATAGTCACCTCCCCACGGGTCTCTCACCCAAATCTCTTTCAACCAGTCCAGAACCAAGAAATAAGATAAAGCTTCTTCACAAGTCTCTCTGTTCCATGTACCTCCCTGAGGTCACCTTCTGGCTCTCCATCCTGCTTCCTTCCTCTTCAGTCTCCTCTCCAATTCTTCTTCTTCCTGCTCAGTTCCACCCTCCCTTGAGTGGGGCAGGGAACCTGGAACCTCCCCTTTTCCTGGGGACCACCCTGCTTCCCTTTCACCCAGGAATCTGATGGAATATACCTCTTTTTTTTTAAGATTTATTTATTTGCACATACAGAACTGGGGTACAGGTCAGAGGCTCAGGGGCGGCGAGAGGCTTCACCAGAGACAGAATGGGGAGCAGAACAGGCAGATCGACGAAGTACACTGCTGAGGGGAGCAGCGGGCAGGTCAGGAGAGGTCTGCCACGCCATGTGGTCACCTCCGGGGCAGGCAGGAATCGAACTCATGTGGAAGTGGCTTTTGCTTCTTTGTGCTGTGCTTAACCCGTTGCGCCACCAGGGAGGGCCGGAACATATATCTTTGCTGTGTTTCTTTGTAGCTCTTATGTGATACGGTGTGTCAAAGTAGCCCCACTGTGTGTAACACAAATACAATCCAGTGGCCTCAGATGGAAGGAAGCAAGCAAGCATTTAATAAATTCCATCTTAAAACAAACCTTCACCGTCTCTTCAGGAGGTTTTAAAGATACTTTCAAGTGTCTAAGAACAGTGCCCCAAGAACAGTATCTGGGGAGATGGAGAGAGACCTCTGTGACACAAGGGGTAGTCTGTGGGGACCACGAGGAATGTCATTTATAGTTTCTTTCCAAGGAAACTGATACAGTCACCAGCCTTCCCTGGCAACCTCCAGCTGCCACATCCTACAATTAACTGTGGCGGTCACCCCAGGCTACTTTGCTGTGGGCTGCTCCTAGCCAGTGGTTAAACATGGCAAGATTCTTGGCCATGTGACCTTTGAGATACTGACAGACTTGAGAGAAGCAAAGACTTGAAAAAAGTGTTTGGGCATCTCTCTGTCCCTCTTGCTCCTCTTCCATCTTCAGGAGAATATGCTTAACAAATAAATCTGAGAACATACCCAGGCTAGCCCACTGGGGGCAAGTGAGTGTAAAGCAAGAAACGTGAGGAGAGCTTAGTGCCTCAACCGAGGTCATCCCAGACCAGCAACTCCCAAACATGTGAAAGAGCCCAGATCAGAGCCCCATCACTCACTGACTCATGATCAGTAATAAACAGTTACTGATCTGAAGCACTGGGTTTTACATTAGAGCTAGTGGTATTATATAACTGTATACTGGGAAGCCCCCAGGACAATAAACTGAAATAACTACAAACAATAAGTGTCAATAGTATATACAACTAATAGAAGAAATCAATAACTTTCTTCTGTTTTAATTTATTATTATTATTCCGCAAGAAAACTGGTTGGGCCCTCCCTGGTGACACAATAGGTTAAAGCACAGCAGTGAGAAGCTAGCTGCAGCCCCTTGGGGCCAGTTCCATCCCCTGATCCCAGGTGGGGGAACTGACCCACATGGCGCAGCAGACCTCTCCTGTCTCACCTGCTACTCCCCTCAGCAGTGTTCTTCATCAATCTGCGTGCTCCCCACTCTGTCTCTGGTGAATCCTCTCACCCCCTGCACTTCTGGCCTGTACCGCAGTTCTTGCATGCATAAATAAGTAAATCTTTTTAAAAGGAAAACTGGGTTACTACAAAGTAGCTCTCAATCATTAACATCTAAGTCTCTTGCATGAAAGAAATTTCTCTGCACAGACAAGTCCAACATTTTAATTACAGTTCCCCCCGGCCCCTGCCTTCCCACCTTCACTCCTAAAATGTATTACTAGGAATGAGAATGTTAAAGGGAGACATCAAAGACTGTTCAGGAATGAACAACAATATAGGAAAACTTAAAAGTTTAGCAAGTAAACAAATAAATAAAATTCATCAATAAAAGAATGATTTAATAAAATACAATGTGGTCACACAATGAAATATTATATAAAAAGAAGAATCTCTTTATATGAAAAGTATGGAGATACTATCAAGATATCTTAAATTTTAAAAGACAAGGTGAAACAAGTGAATATATTACCTCTGCTGCTGCATTATATGATCTTTTCAAAGGGTGGGAAATACTACATTTACTTGTGTGTGTGTGGTGTTAATATTTATATATATTAATATTAATAATATACATTTTATGTACTTAGTGTGATATATTTTATTAATATACATTAAATATATAAATTTTATATAATTACATGTAATTGGTATATGTTTACATTAATATAAATAATATAGAATATATAATTATATAAAATAGTAATATGTATATTAATAGATGTGTTAATATCTATTAGTAATATATATATATTGCTTTGTCTCATCTCTTAAAGGATATACCAGAAATAAAATAATAGTGTTGGCCCTCCCTGGTGGTGCAGTGGGTTAAAGCACAGACTGAGAAGCTAAACCACTTCCGCATGAGTTCGATTCCCGCCTGCCCCGGAGGAGACCACATGGTGTGGCAGACCTCTCCTGACCCGCCCGCTGCTCCCCTCAGCAGTGTACTTCGTCGATCTGCCTGTTCTGCTCCCCACTCTGTCTCTGGTGAAGCTTCTCACCGCCCTGCACCTCTGGCCTGTACCCCAGTTCTGTATGCATAAATAAATAAATCTTTAAAAAAAAAAATAATAATAATAGTGTTTACAATTTGTGTATGTGTGGCAGAGACGGAGGAAATTGGGAAGATGAATGAATAACAGTGTTGGGTTTTCTGACTTTTTTTTTAATGTGGTACTTTTTTCTACATTGTCGTCATTTTATATTAACAATGATTTCTCCCCTCAAATATGGTCACTGTAGTTCTCCCACCACCAAAGCACCCACAGTCCATCACCATATTCTCTTGTGCTCTTCCCCACTTCCTAACTTTTGAATCATGTTAAAAATGGTGCCTTTACCCCAACCCCTGTTTTAAGATCATTTACCCCAAAAAATGTTTTAAGATCATTTAAAATTGTACAAGTAACATAGACACTAGATGGCGCTTGTCCTTCACTTTTTAAAGTTTTACTATTTGTTCTTCATTTTGAACTGTCATCAAAGAACTCATTTAACAAAGTAAGACCATATGAAAAGGTACCAGAAACTGCCTGAAAGCTTTAAAATATTAACATAATACGAACATGCAAATTCCTAACACTTTTCAAACAAAAAAGCAACAATTTCTTTAATGGAAAATTCAGGGTTATAGAAATGCCCTCAAGTTCTCCAAACTCCTTTACAACCTGTAATTTCTGTCTTTTTTTTTTAAGATTTATTTATTTATTCGTACAGAACTAGAGTGCAGGCCAGAGGTGCAAGGGCGATAAGAGGCTTCACCAGAGACAGAGCTGGGAGCAGAACAGGCAGATCAACGAAGCACACTGCTGAGGGGAGCAGCGGGAGGGACAGGAGAGGCCTGCCCGCCATGTGGGTCACCTCCACGGCAGCAGGGATGGAAACCATGCTGAAGCAGCTTTAGCTTCTTTAACCCGCTGCACCACCAGGGAGGGCCCATTTTCTGTCTTTAAATATCAACCTCTACATGTAACAATCTTAGTAGGCCACCTTGAATACCATTTGCTTAAAAATTGACTATAAATCATACACAATGTTTTTCAGTATTTTAACAGATAAAATGTTTCTGTCTTCTAGAGTCTGTAAGATAAAGATTTATGGCAAGTATAACTCTCTCCATGCCTCTGTGCTGAAATCAGATGGAATAAGAGGTCTGGTGGGCCCTGGGTTCATGACATTAGTGTCAAGATTAGCAGCTGGGTGGGATATGCAGGGAGACACTTTGGGGACAGGTGGTGATGGGATACAAGGAAGACCTAGCTGTACCCCACCAGCCTCCCCATCACCTGGCTCACCTATTGGTGTTCTCTATAGAATTTAACTTGATCAGAAAAATGGTCCTATCACTAGGAACAAGATTGAAAACCTCCGAGCTAGCATCTGTCACATGCAGGTGCTGAAACAAAAAATACTGGTTTCACCTTTGTGCGGACGTGTAAGTTGTGGGAGCACAGCACAAATAAGACATCTTGCCAAGAACTCTTACCCTTGGAATTAGGACCAGAGAAAAAATAGGGAAGTAGGGCTCTCCCTGGTGGCACGATGGGTTAAAGCACCAGATTATGAAGCTCTCCAAAGCCACTGCAGCACGAGTTCCATCCCCCACCAGGGAGCTGATCCACATGGCTTGCAGACCTCTCCTGACCCACCCGCTGCTCCCCTCAGCAGTGTACTTTGTCAATCTGCCTGTTCTGCTCCCCACTCTGTCTCTGGTGAATCCTCTCACCACACCTCTGGCCTGTACCCCAGTTCTGTAAGCATAAATAAATAAATCTTAAAACAAAAAAATAGGAAGTAAAAACAAAATCAAATCAGAGTCACCTATTAGAGTGGCTAAGATAAAACATCAAGAGAATGCAGAGCAACTGAATCTCTCATTCTCTGGTGACAGAAATTTAAAAATGGCAC